TGTTTGATTGGAGGATTTCACCATAAGCTGACATCAGTTAGATAACCATTAGAAAACCAGATGAGAGTACTGAAAAGCTTTCTCTTCCTAGTTTATGACTCTTCAGCAGTACGCACCCACTGCCAGGGTCCGAACCCAGGACTTTCTGGTTACAAGGCGAGAGAGCTCGTAGACCATTAAACCACTGGGACCCGATCCAATGGCCAGTCCATGAATTCTGACTTCTGCCAATTCATGACAAAGCGCAACCACTTTGACTGCCCTCAAACAAAATCCCTACACAACCAATACTTGAGAATTGATCTTATGTTCACTAGCAACTGGCCCTATTCAGGCAGTTAACCTAGGGTCTAGTGGGAAGCTGTGACCAATAGGGTACATCAGGTTGAACGTGAGGACAGTTACTCATCGAAGAAGACATTGTGAAGTCGTTGTGCAATGTCATGAATAAGCGGAAGTCAGAATTCATGGACCGGCAGTTGGATTGGGCCGCAGTGTCTTAACAGTCTACGAGCTCGCTAGTCTTGTAAACAGATGGTCCTGGGTTCGGACCCTGACAGTGGGTGGGTACTCTGAAGAGTCCAAAATTAGGACGAAACATCTGTCGAGTACTCCCTTCTAATATCTTCATCAAACTGATATCAAGTTGAAATCCAATAAAGCTTGAAAACCTGTAGGGTACAGGTTTAAGGCCTGTAGTATGTCACAGGATTGATTTTGGTAATATTGGAATCCTTTAGAAAAACATTCATAGTAATAATGTCTCATAATGGAAGCAATTAACACATAGTGGAGTCCAAATTATCTCATACAACAGCTTTCATCCATCTTTAAAATCTACCTTAGGAAAGTGAAGGCACTCCCCTTCCTTGATGTTGTGAACTCCATCGAAGATCCACAAACAGGAAGCGTACATGATATGGACAGTTAACTAGTTTCTATACTTCGTCACCTATTTTCAGGCATCAATTCAAAATTCTTCAGAATGAGATAAGTTTAACGTTACCATATAGATGTGTTAGTAAAGATAACAGACCATGTGAAGACTATTAGATTTGATAAATGCATGAAATTATATAAAACGTATGTGTTTCCATAATGAAATTGCTTGATTCTATCACTTCATGAGGTGGGGTGCTGGAACCGTCATTGTAATTTAGACAATTGGAACTCCATTTAATCAAAGATATGTTTCTGACCTAAGATTTCTTTATGATTTTTCAAGTGTTTCCCGAATGATTTCATTTTTTTCAAATCAATTTTATGGTCGGATTCTATAGGGTGTAGACTTATTTTTGTTTATTCCTTTACGTTCCCAGTGGAACATAGGGCTTTCAAGTTTCGGTAGAAGTGGTATTTATTTTTACAGTATGTGGTTGCTAGTCTCATGCCCAACCTTCCCCCTTCACCAGCCTTATTACTGGCTTAGCGAGGTAAAGGAGTGCGTTGGTGGCCAGGGATCGAAGCCCGAATCACCTGTATGGTTGGCGAGCATTCTACCGCTGCGTTACTGACGCATATGCAGACTTATGGCTGATGATTTTCAAGATTTTCTAGTTCCATTGAACTATCCTGAGGGCGAATGGAGACTCTACAATGTTCATTTCTTCCGACCTTAATTTCATGCGAAGTATGTCCAATATGCATCAATATAAAGTTATCAAGTTTAACGAATTTAATAAAACCATCCTTCAGAACCAAACTTTAAATCAAATTTACAATCTACACAAATCGAGTGGTGAAATTCCACCTCATTTTTCTTTGAATCATCTCGATCTGACGGGACAGCAAGCACTTCTGACTGATATGAGCGGTATGCAACTACTCACTGCAATTAAGTCAGTAGTACATGGTTTTATGCAAAAATCTGACTCTTTCAAAAAACCGCCGAAGCTATAATGATCCACAATGTTAAATCCAAAACTCTGTGTATACAGAAGAAGAAGGTTCAGTCAATGAACCTGTAATGAAACTAACCTATCTACATATTCGATAGGTAATTCTTTTTTAATCCTTATATTTTCATTTTTGAAATTTTATTATTTTTATTCTTTCACACTACTCTGTTTCTATTTGTAACGACGCTGGTAGTTGATTTTCTTCTACTTCCAATTGACCTCCTCTCAATCGTACCGAGTATATTAAGTCTCTCGGTTCAATTAGTTAATTTCGTGTAAGTCCCCATCCCGGTAAGACCTTATGTATAACGTAATTGCTACCTTGAACTTACAATTTTAATGACACATCTATGAGAGAAGGTTCCTTTTGTTTCAAATTAAAATGTACTTATGGCCATTGGATGGGGTCCCAGCGTCTTAATGGTCTACGAGCTCGCTAACCTTATAACCAGAATGTCCTGCGTTCGCTCCCTATTGATGGGTGCGTACTGCTGAAGAGCCCCAAGCTGGGTGGACGAAACAGTTGTCCAGTACTCATAGTTGGTTTCCTAATGGTTGTCTAACTGTTGTCAGCTTATGATGAAATCCTCCAACCAAACATACACTTTGGTCAGAAAGTAAGTATAAGATCAGTCAAATAGGTTGCAGGATGAATTTTGGCAAGATATAATGAATCATTGGAACGTATTAGCACTGAGTAAGTTACTGTTTCATTCTATTTACAGAAAGAATGGCACAGGATATTACCCCTAAGGGAGATCAAACTCATCACGATGCAGTTGTACACCTCAAGAACGATATCGCTGAAAAGAAATGTAATTCCTCACTGAATGCATCTTCTTTTTTATTACCTAATTTGGAATTTCACGCTACTTAGGACTCTTCTTGTCTTCTACCATGAACTTACTTCCCAAGTAATCTGCAATTATTCTATCGTCATCATATCATAAAAGTAGGCTTAGATGACATCAGTTCCCTTTCTAGCCTTGGGTTATTCATTCACATTGAAGATGTCTCCTACTGTTGTACTACTCAAAAGCTCTACATTTAAATTTCTAAGTATAATAGATACTTCAATTGTTTTTTGTCTAAATGAGCCTGTACTTTCTCAAGGTTAACAGATTTTTAAAAAAAGCCAAAAGTACGTCCATATTTACCTTTGAGCAGTAAAAAGAGGAAACTGAAGGTACAAAACATATATATGTAGGAAAAACTTAATTATTTTTCCCAGTCGACCAATCAGTGATCAGCAAATATGAATGACTTCACCACCTAATTGGTTGTTGTCAAGGTCGTTAGTTGGGCATTTATACTTTTTTCCGCATTATGACGCAAATTAAGAAATATGGAGAGATTTACTTCCTCTTACCGTTTCACGTGTTGACTATCAAGTATTGGGACATTTAATGTAGTTTTTTTGTTTTTTTTTTAAGAGGAAAAGGATGGAATCAGCAAAGTAGAAACTTTTAATTTATGTATAAGCTTAAACTGAAACAATTTTATTTTTCTAGATAATAGATATTTATGTTTTAACATTGATTTAAAATTAATACTTTGTCTAATATTAATTACATTTATCCTGGTCATATTTTATTATTCTTTCAGAATACAGGATTTTAGCATTCCATCATCACTTCAGTTTGTTCTCTACAGTCGTTTTTAGCTTCCACCCCACGATTGCTCACCTCCTCCTCACACAATATGCTTCATGGCCATCTTGGACGTCTAAAAGTTGTTGTTTGCCACCAGGATTCCACTTTACGGTCTGCCTTGCATATGATCTTTCACTCAACAGTCTTCTCAGTATGTGTCCGATCCATCTCCACTTCCTTCTGCACTGGAAATTTGAATCTTGCTTCTTGTGTTAGATGCAGAATATTTCCACACTGGTCTCAGATTAATGAAATTCCGTCTTACATTTCCTATCTTCTCTTTGACATCCTCATCCATGCCACTTGCAGTTAAAATGATGCCGCCTAGATAAGTGACTTCCTTAAGATTTCTCTTACTGACAGTGGTGAGTACTTGCTGTTGTTGATTGTTGGGTATCTTCATCACCTCAGTCTTTTCTGCCTGCCTCTTCTGCCATACTGTTGGTTTTCGTCTTTAGATCTTCGAGTTTGTGTGAGACTAGACACAAACTGTCTGCGAAGTCCAGGTTTTTTTTAATCTTCTTGTCAGTATAACATATATGTATATATCTCACTTCCTACGGTCTGCCACATGATCTAGTCCACCACAATCTGGATCGGCATTCGCCAAGGATCGGAAAGGAAAGACAGACGTTCAGTAATATGAAGTCAGTGTGGAGATTCACCACACTCAGCATACACAACATGATTAGGAAAACCACTTTCAACCAGCTAATACAGACTTTTGGTCAACAGCTGCCCCCTTTTCTCTAAACTGAAGATCAAATGGACATAAAGTATTTGTAACAGGGAACTCTGCAAGTGCAACGAACCAACCATCTACTCATCTTCTGAAAAATATGCAGAGTAACTTGAAAATCCCCATTCAGTCATATAAAAGAAAAGAAGGCGTTCAGCGAAGAGACTCTTTTCGGCGAATTCATTTACTGAGCTGTACAATCGCATTTATATACAATTTTGTTTGTGTGTGTGTACATTAGATTTATAAAGTTTATATAATTACACAATATAAGTATTATTTACCTTGGAAACAAACAAACAAACAAGGTGGATTAGACATACTCGGAGGAGACAGTCAAGTGACACCACACGCTAGGCAAGCTATGGAGTGGTAACCGAATGGAAAACGACGAGTTGGGTGTAGATTGGAGTGTGACATGGAGGAAAGCGTATGAGGATGGGGTCGCTAGCCTCATGACCAACCTTCCCTATTTAACAGTCTCACTACTGGCTTAGCGAGGTGAAGGAGTGCGTCGGTGGCCGAGGATCGAACCCCGGACCCCCTGAGTGGTCGGCGAGAATTCTATCGCTGTGCCACCGACGCAGAGCATGTAAGTAGAAAATGGAAACTTATTGACAATACTGAAGGTGCTGCTGAAGGCCTACGATGCATTCTGAACCGAAACGAATAATAATAACAAGTTGTAGCAGAGGTAGGAGTAAAACTTACATGAATAAGCAGATATTGTATATCCAAATATAAAAGTAGAAAATCCAGCCGGTACGAAACGTACAACTCCAATAATCAATAGACTGAGAACTAATTTAAACAAAATAAATAAGTAAATAAATTTAAAACGATATACATATATATACAATGCATATAAACATGAAATGCAACTTTTAAATCAAAAGAAATTGCAAGGTTAAACTGTATTGTTACATGTTTGGGTTCTTAAAAATGAACTGTAAACTTGTTTGGTTGAGCATTTACTCAAGTGGATATTATGGACCTTACCAAATAGCAAAACCGGACCATGATAATGCCTATATTTTTAGACCACTGTTTCGTCCTAGTATGTGACTCTTCAGTAGTAGGCGTCAAACTAGGAGGAAAGATCTGTTGAGTACCTTCCAGTTCTCAGGAGTCCCCATATCAATTCTTGGTTAAACTTGGAACTAATCAAATCCCTACAAACTAACATTTGGAAATTTATGGAAGAGGCCTAGCTATTTCGATTCTGAAATTAGATCATTACTCAAAGAAAGAAAGAAAGAAAGCAGTGATCATTACCTGAGTCTTTTATGATAGAAACCGCTTTATGTGATAGGACAGATGAACCTTCCCCTTCATTGTCCTTTCGTCTCCTGTCATTTCTTTCTTTCACGTTCCCTTCTCTGTGTTACTTCTCTTTCTCACACCTCATTCACGCTCATTGAGCTACCAATAGTTTTCAAACTGATACTACTCACTCTGTTTCATAACCTGTCGAAAACTTATTCCCTCACATATCGATTTATTCTGCTAACTTTTTATTTCACTATGTTCACCGATGATATATGTCTGATTTCACACAAAATGGAAGACATACAAGTGAAAAGCAACAAGTTGGCACAAGAAGCATCCAGAGAAGATAGGAATGCAGGTGAAAATAGAGAAAACAGAGGTGATGAAGATTCCTGGCCAACACCAACAACAACAACAAAAACAACAACAGACAACAATCAGCATAAATGGGAGGAATCTGAAAGAAACAACCTCCTTTACCTACCTAGGAAGCATCGTTTCAACTACAGGCGGAACCGAAAAGGATATCAAAGCAGCGAGGATCGGGAAAGCAAGACAAGTTTTCATTTCTCTCAAGTCTGTGTGAAGGTCAGCAGCACTCAGCATCAAAAATAAGATCCGGATTTTAAACTCCAGTGTGAATTCAGTGCTACTATACAGATCAGAGACTTGGCGCCGCGTCATGAAGAGCACTTCAAACAAACTACAGACCTGCACCAACGGCTATCTTCACTCAACACTCAAGATCAGACGGCCAGCCAGAAAAGATCAGCAACAGAAATCTCTGGGAGTGAACGAACCAGGAACCGATTGTGCAATAAATAGGCAGGAAGAAATGGAGATGGATTGGCCATACTCTGAGGAAACAAATCATCAAGTGACATCACTAGACAAGCCCTCGAGTGGAACCCGAAAGGGAAGCGGCAAGTTGGTCGTCCAAGGGTGACTTGGAGGAGGTCATGTGAAGAGGAGATGAAAGCATGTGGGCAGACCTGGAGCCAGGTGAAAACGTTAGCAGAGAACCAAACGCAATGGAGACGTGCAGCTGAAGCCCTATGTTCCTCTAGGAATTAAAGGAAACAATAATAATCTTGTTGTTATGTTTTGTTCTTCTGTCTTGTTTTAATAAGAGAATCGAATTTGAAGTACAGTATATATATTGCTGCTAATAATCATATCAGCATGGTTACATAACCTTCAAACTTCGTTTATATAATTCGATCATATTTTCTTCTGATTTTATCGATAGTAATATTTTATCATATCTTGGGTATCAATGTCACTTCATACCCATTGCACGTGTTAGGTGTAGATTCAATGAACAAAGATTTAGTGTGACCAGCCACTCTCCCTCCACCTACTTATATTACTTTTCAGAACTATTGCTCCGTCTCATTCTATTATGTGACTGTGTATTGGTGCATGTGATGTGAATTCTAGGATTCTGTCTAAAATATTCATCTTTATGGCATGAGTCATTCTACACTTAGCTGAATTCTTTTGTTTCGATAACCTGACTATCCTCAGTCTACTGGTCTGACCTATGTAGTAGTTGACCTCACAGTTATTGCAAGTTATTTTGTAGATTAAGCTGTCTAATTGGGTCCTCTAGTCTACAGAGCTTGTCTCTGGATGAGCGAATCGGTTCAAATAGCACTTTCATCCTTGTATTATTAAGAATTCCAATTACATACCCAGACACCGTCGAAGCATCTACACAAGAAGCCGACATGTCAACCTGAGACCGAGCGCTTCGGTCCAATCAATTGACGGGAAAATCTAAAAAAATTCGAGTGAATAATTAACATGACCCGTTGCACAGGAGTCGGCTCTAGTGGCCCAAGTGGTCTAGTGGATGATGCTCTGGTGTTTGAAACTTTGAGCACTGGGTTCGAGCGTCGGCTGGAACATCATCACTTACTGAGGAATGCAGGCACATCCAGAAGACGAGTCCCAAATAGGATGAAATGCGCGTTATCCTATATTCCACTGCTAGTCCCCATCCCCTTATTAAAGAAAGTGGAAAGTTATGCAAGTGTCTGGATATGATAATGAGCAATAAAAATGGAGATTGAGGTGTTGTCAGTGAGTAAACGAAACCGTAACACTTTGTTTTTTATCAAATAAATTTATTCTCTGATAAAATAGATTGTTTAATTTTTCAATTTCCACAATTCCGTCTACACTTAAGCTCTTTTATTAATAATAACAATAATAATTTCCTTTATTCCAAAACAGTACCTATCATACAGTGTCGAATTTTCAGCATTTCGAACAAAATTGCATCTAACTTACTCGACATCAGCAAAAGCAAAAGTCAAATAACAATATTACCGGATTGATGATAGCAGCCGTTTTGGTATAAAAAGTGACAATAACATCAAAATGTACAAAAAGTGGAAAATAATAATAATGTTAATAGCTAAAATTATAAGTTAACTGAAATAGCGTCTCCATAGATTACAAATAGGAGAGAATGATAGAGCTAACTATTTTGTCGATAGCACAGTGAGTCGTAAATTTCTCGCTTAACATTATCTTTATTACATAGGATACGGGCGAAGCAGGGTGTCATTGAGTTTCGGTACTTGGTTTTACGAGCATATAATTGGTTCGCTTAAAAAAGACTATGTCATACTTCGTAGAACTCTGAAAACTGTCAATCAGTAGGGCGAGTGGTGGTATCCCATTTGGCCATATTGTTGACATCGTCATAGACGATAGGCACTTGAATTCATGCAACAAATTTGCTAGAAGAATTTTGTCAGACTGTGTGCATCCACTTTACTCGCAGCTCAAACCGTGTGTCTCCTCAGGTAAAATAAGAAGTCATTTCAAAAGACTTTATGCACGTACACCTAAGTATAAAAGGTCCACTATGCCATATTTGGCTCGTATTTTATGTGAGGAAAGTAGTATCAGGGACGAACTAATTAACTAACTAACCTTCTTGGAACTAGTAAATAAACCATTTTCTCCATCCTTATTACACCAAGCTTTATTGTTATTGTTCTTCTTATATTTATAATCCTCGCAATTTTTTGTTTTTATTTGTTTATTTTCTCATAAGCCTAAGCATCATTTAATCTGTGTTATGAATGTAAATTTTGTCTTTCCTCTCACCATGCTACATCAACAGAATATTAGATTCAATAATCTATAACATGCTAGAATTTCCAAACTGAATCGACAATACTGTTTGAAACAAACCCACTGTTATTATTATTGTCTTTATCATTCTCACTTTCTACTTCGAATATTTCTGACTTAATGCCGTAAATGTAAACCAATTTCTGTGGTTAATTTTAATTATGTTTTGAGAAAATCCGATGCAATTTTGTGAAAAATGCTGAGAATTCCATTCTGCATTATAAGTACTGTTTTTGGAATAAAGTACATTATTATTATTATTATTAATCTTTTATAATGACTTCAAGTCCTACCTGATGAGATGTATTGCGAGGATAGTTTTGAATAGAGAAGGAGGGTGTTGAAAGGTAGACAGTATGGATTTAGTCCATTACTCACATGAGTTCAGGTGTCTATCAACTACTATATTAACGAACTGACTAAGTGGCACACTACCTACCCTGCTGACAACCATTAATACCCTGTTCAGTATGACATAGTCCTTTCTGAGCAGATCAGGAAAGACTGAGGGCGAGCGTTAAAGTACAGTAGGTAGGATGCAAGAGTGAACAAATTGTCAAAGTAGAGGTTGACCGATACGTAGCTGATTGTCTTAACTTCTTAATGTAGTAGGTTAGATAGAACATTTTTTCTTAGGAATTTACAAGATATAACCTAACTGCCAAAGTATTTCAATAGACTTCGTTTCCATTTCAATGCCCTGTATGCTAAAAACATCGTGCGAAAGGATCATTTCTTGTAGATCACGTTTATGCCTAAAACTACCAATTTCTAAGGATATCAACGAAATCAGTTAAGTCAAGCTTTCAGCATTTTCACTGCCTGACTTACGTATAAGTAAAGATTTCTTTTTTAAAATCTAATTCACTGTGGTACAAATAAATCAATAAACAATTGTTAGAGTATTACCACTCAACAAATAAAACTTAGTAAAATGCAATTTATTGTTTGACGTTATATACTACTTACTGATAGATGTGAGTAGCTGGACACCACCCACATCAACCGGTAATGTTTGCTAGCCAGGTGAAAATGATCAAACAGTGGATTGACGAACTCTTATCGATGTACACAGTGCAACTAGGCTCAGATAGCTGAATCAGTTCAAACTATCTCATTTATGGTCAGAGATTTCGGCGAACGAGTCAAATGGCCGTTCATTGCTTAGATCACGTCGATTTGACTGGCAAGCACTACTTACATCGTTCAATCAGTAGTATACATCACATTTATGAATGCTTTTCTGACTGTTATGTATGATATTAAGCAGATCACACATTGTGATACGAATTATTTTATTTTCCAAAGGAAGCTTTAGTGAAACTTTACTTCGAAATGTGTAAATTGCATATTGCGAATTTGAGATTCCCTGATATACGAGAGTTTTGTAGGTACTTCTTTATTATTACTATTATTATTTAGCAGTACTTCACCATTTTATTCTGTTCTCTGCAGCCATCCTCAGCTGGCTTGACGACTACCCGCATACTTTCATCTCTTCCTCAATTGACCTCATCCATGTTACCATTAAATTCGCTTTCAAGCTTCGTTTACCGTTTGTGTTCCACTCAAGGGCATGGTGCGTGATGGCACTCAACGGTGTCCTCGGTTTATGTCCAATCCATCTTCGCTTTCTTCTGCATATTTGTTAGGCGATAGATTTTCAGTTGGTTCGTCACACCACCAGAGTTCCTTGCTGCTAAACCCTTGCGGCCATCAGATCTTCAGTAGGGAGTGTAGGTAGCTACTGATGAAAATCCGTAGCTCGGAACTAGTTGGGTTGATGAAGAACAAATTATATGTGGAACAAATTGCAGCGTCAGGCATCATCATCGAATGGATCCCTTAATGAAATTCAACTACTTATTTCAAATTTATTGACTGTGAAAAGGCCTTCAATGGCGTCGGTCAGATGACTGCCATCATAAAAATGAAACTTAAATTTGGTGTTTTTATTACCAATCACTGTAATGCAAACAATCGCCTAACTAAGTAGATAAATTTCGCAGGGTTACGCAATATGAATCAGTATTCCTTTCAACCAATTATATATACTTCCAGGCGAAAAGTAACAAACTGGCTGAAAAGGCTGGCAGCGAAGACAGGACTCCAGACTAACATAGAGAAGACGGAGGGTATGAAGATAACCAACGAACAGTAACAGCAACAACAACCAGCACCAGCCAACATCAACGGGAGAGATTTAATGAAGGTTACTTCCTTCACTTATCTAGGAAGTATCGTTTCAGCCACAAGTGGAACGGATTTAAATTTTAAAGACAGCCAGGCGGAATCGGAAAGGCAAGATACGACTTCATCAACCTGAAACCAATTTTGAAGTCTTCTGCATTCAGTTAGCATAAAGAACAAGATGGTTTCAGATTTTCAACACAAATATGAAGTCATTCAATCCTTCTGTATGGGTCAGAAACTTGCATTGCACGTCACGAAAAGGATTTCCAACAGGTAGCAGACTTTAATCAACAGCTGCCAACTTCTTTGGCTTCATATTGAGGATTAAATGGCTGACTGGCCAGAAGGAATTAGAGACGAGAAACTCTGGAAGTCAACAAACCAACCAAGAGCCGGTTTCTCAACAAATATGTAAAGATGGATTGATCTAGTATAAGTTGGGGAGGCCATCGAATGACATTGCGCTTAATGCAGGCCACCACTTAAGTGGAATCCGAATAAAAGGTGGCGAGTGGGTCGTCGGTGCATGGGTGATATGCAGGAGATCGTATGGCGAGAAGGAGGAGATGAGAGATTATGGTCAATCGAGGAGCCACTCGAAGAGGACAGCGGATAACAGGACAAAGTGAAAATGTTTACAAGATTTCATCATGAGCTGATACCAGTTAGAGAACCATTGGAAAACCTGGGAGTACTGGACAGCTGTTTTCTCCTAGTCTTGGACTCTAGGTTCTCTAACTGATGTCAGCTTATGATGAAATCCTGTAACCAATGAATCTAACCCTCACAAACCATTACTTGAAAGTGAAGATGTGTTGTTGAAGATGTTCCACTAGGAACTCAAGGGAATAACAATAATATTTTAATAAGAAATAGTTCATTTTACCTGAAGTCATTGAACCACATATAATTATCTGATATAATGATAATGAAAATTCTGAGTCAGCATTGAATTGAAAATTTTCAAAACTGCTATGATTTGTAAAATTGACTGGTATACACACTCCACCAATAGGTATAGTTGGATAAATTGGTAATGTTGGACAGAGTGATACATTCAGGACACGTGGTTGAGATCTAAAATTTTTAAAGAAAAGGGAAAGTTTAAACAAAGAGTTGAATCAGTCTAGCTTGCATTCAGTGAAATTACGATATAAAACTTGAATTAAAAGTCACTCGATTCTTAAAATTGTAAAATACAATATTTGTTGTCGTTACAATAATGGCCAGTTACGCCGCGGATACATTTTTTAACGTAGAATAACAGATTGGTTATGGATAGTCAAAACAAATAGTCGTATTTGAGCGACAAACGTGCTAGGCTCAAAACGATTACAAAATATTGTGAAATGGGAGACATTGGTGGTGACTAGTCGTACTAGATTTGTGGAGTGTGGGGCAGGAAAAATTGACAAAAGCAGACACTTGGTCGATACTGGACATCGCATCAAAGTCAACATAGCCTTCATGTTTATATACCAATTTCCGACGTCGTTATTACAAACAGTTCGCTTACACTTCCTACATAATAGCTGAAGCTGTTACAATAAGATCAACTAAATTGGAACTTTGTATCCAAAAAGAATTCCTCCACGCTCTGTTCCCACTGTGGCCAGACTTGGGTTAAGGTTTCTTCTTCTCACCAAGAGTGTCTCTTCCCTTTATCCCTCATGGGTTTTTTTTTGCTTTTGCTTTGCTAATTATTACGATTGCTATTATTCGTTATAATGTATACCCTTCATTCAAACATTCCCTCAATACTACTGAATTTTCCATTTATACTCTCCGGACTTATTATTGGTGATATTATCTCTTTTCTCAATATATACCTCCACCTGTTTCATTTCACACATTCTCTATTTCATGATGAGCTCCTCCTTGCAGTCTTACTACCTCCTCTTTAATACATACTACTTTGTACTAGCCACTCACTCACCTGACACCTTTTATAACCTTGAACTGACTTGTCAATTTTTCCTACGCCATATTCTACAAATCTGTTATGACTAATCACCATCATTGTCTCCCATTTCACAATATTTTGTAATCGTTTTGAGCCTAGTACGTTTGTCGCTCAAATACGACTATTTATTTTGACTCTCCATAACCAATCTGTTATTCTACGTTAAAAAATGTATCCGCGGCGTAACTGGCCATTATTGTAACGACAATTTTAAGAATCTACTGAGGGAAATTTATTGGTAAGAATATCTTCGTTCGGAGTGACTTTTAATTCATGATACGGGAATATATCGCACTATTAAGTCTTATATAAAACTTGAGCACTATGGTAGTATATAATTAAATATTAATCCGTTTACTGGATACATAAAACAGTGAAACAGTGTCATTAGTACTAGAAGACATTTTGAACACAATTTATTGTTCCAAATTATACAATCGTTTATGAATGCACAACTCAGAAACTTCATTTTTTCAGTTCCCTTTCTTCCTTCTCATTTGTCTTTGGGGTAGCTGAATTTTTCAGATGTCCATGAAAGGATTTGAAACATTCCTTTTAAGCGTTGGTTTTGTAGGGATTGTGTTTGATTGATTGTGGGGTTTCATCATGAGCTGACATCAGTTAGAATACCACTGGAAAACCTGAAATTACTGGACAACTGTTTTGGCCTAGTTTGAGGCTCTTCATCAGTACGCACCCACCGACGTTCAAACCCAGAACATTCTGGCTACAAGGTGCGTACTGATGAAGAATCCCAAAATGGGACAAAACAGATGTCCAGTACTCCCATGTTTTCTAATGCTTCTCTAATTGATATCAGCTTATGATCAAATCCTCCAACCAATCATTCCTTTTACACATATTCTCCCTTCTATTCTCAACCTCCCCCTCCACCCTGTTATATTAGATTATAAGACCATCAATTTGTCCCATCTTAGAGTGTGGTTGCGTGTATGGGGTAACGCAGTACTTCAGCTGAATTATTTTCTAGATTTCTTAACTTATCACGGGTCAACTAGTCTAATTTTGTGCTCCGCTAATCTAACCGATTCCGTCCCGCTACTCTGGCTTATGTAATTGGTCTCACAATCACTTCAGGGTATTAGATAAACAAAATTACCTTATTAAATAGGCTTCATAATGTCCTTTAACTGACACAACTTATTTCTCGGTGAGTTTGTGGGTTTGAATGCCATCTTTATTACTGCATAGTTAAGCACTCTGATTAAGGTCTCAAAAGTTACTCTTTTTGTATTGGAGCACTGCTATTGTTGGTGTTGTCATCCTTCTGTGCATGTTTGTCTGGCATGTCGTCTTCATTATTTTTATTATGATTATCATTTTTAATTTTATTCTTATATTTCCTGATACACTTTCTGATCAATTTATCAGGGTAATTATTAAGTGTCAAAGTTTCTCTAATATGTCTTCCTTCTCCGATTCAATTTATTACTACTTAGTATATTTTTGCCCTGTAACTTAAACATTTCACTGAAATCTCATACAGTGAGTTCCTTTTATAAATATTTGTATATCATGAACAATAAACAATGTGGGATGAATTGAATTGGATTTCATTTTGCGTGATGTAAGTCTTCCACAAACACACCTGGATAGCTGGACAAGCGTTAAAAAATTTACGTGTATTCAAATTTATTTTAGCAGACACAAGCTAAAACGCAAGATTTTGGACGTTCCATAATCAAGCATTTAGCAGTATGGCAGGTGCTAATGATAAGATTTATCAGTAGCGTATATATATGTAAAGAGATGTTCACCGGAATAACAACATCAAATAGCAGAGAGGCAGGTTGGATGTCAGAGAGAGTAAATGATACACCATTGCGGAAATACATGGGAGACGTGAAAGGAACACAATGAAACACACTATAAAGGAAGGCGAGAAGTAGCACAACACGGAAGATCTGTGCAAATGGTGTACTGAAGTTAAGGTTTACATAATTTGGCTATACAGAGGTACCAGGTTGCAAATAAACAGTCCTTTACCAAGTCTTTGTTCTTCCGCCCTTTACATCAGTTCCTAACAGACAATTTGTCTACCAATGTCATTCTTGCACTCGATCAAGAATTAAAGAATCGCAGTCACTTTAAAATAGATCCATTTGTGTTTATCATTGGTTTTCAGTGAGAAATAAAATTTGTGTGGCATTAATACAACTTTATATCCGAATTCAGCACATTTTTCATGAAGCAGTATATCAGTGATCAGTAGTTCAGCTAAAATGAGGTACGCTTTACAACGAGTTTGTCTAGCTACAATGTATGAGTTAAGTTCAGCTATATTATTTGGTCAGAAATCTGGCGTGTCACGAAAAGAATTTCCAACAGGCGATTGCAGACTTTTATCAACAGCTGCCTCCGCCACCTTCGTACTGAAGATCAAATGACGGGCCGGCCAGAAACAGTTAGCGACAAGAAACTCTGCCTGGGCACAAACCAACCAAGAGCCGGTTGTTCAACAAATATTAGGGAGGAAATGCAAATGGCTATCGAATGAAATTGCGCGCAATGCAGGCCATCGCTAGAGTGGAATCCCAATGGGAAGCGACGAGTGGGTCGTTGGTGCAAGGGTAACATGGAGGAGGACTTGAAGCGAAGAGGAGTAAAAGGACAGCGGATAACAGAACAAAGTGGAGATGTGTTGTTGAAGCCATGTGTTCCACTCGGAACCCCAGGGAATTATAATTTTATTATTTGAAATGATTTCGCTACATTATATATATCTGTGTTGCCTTTCCAAGAACCAGTATCTTTAGCTAATATACTAGCTTCATGACTAAATAATGCAGATGAAATCTCGAATCTAAAATTAGTAGTTGAAAAAAGACTTTATATACTTTTCTTTCCAAAACTTTTATCTTCACGAAGACCATTGCTACAGTAAGTACAGGAAAACCTTGTACCTCTGAGACTATTCATTACCGCGAAAAGTTTAGGACCTTTGAATACATAGCGTATCTGGCTAACCAAAGGCAGGTCTTCAGCAATTTGCACCAGGAATAATATTCAAAAGGTAATTATAAGTCTGATGTACGACTGACCAGTGGTGTATCAATTAATAAGTTCGGCTTACTGAGTTCTCCATTTTCGGGAGCAATATACTTCAAGACATCTACGCTGTTAAAGACTTATTTAGTTAAATGACAGCCAGCTTTGGTTAGGGCTTGGCCAACTGCAGAGTAGAGTCCATCAAGCAGTAATCATAAACCAATGTTCCCAGATTACATATGACTACTTGGTTAAGTTTCAAAACTTGTCCCCCTTCCTTCTTGATATGCAATTGGAGGTAATCGGAAAGTGCAACTTCTGTCTAAGTAGATTCATCAGTTAATTAAACGCCAATTGTTTTAGTAATTAGCTCCATTTTGAAAATCATTCAGTGATTTAGCATGAATTCTACTAAAAATTTGGCAGTTAACACAGTTCTATGCTTAGTGCTAATTATTCAACAAATTTTTGAACTGAATGTCTTCTGGATCAAATTCGAAATACTAAGAGCGTTGTAATCATGGACTGATGTTTAGTATCAGAATAATTGACTAAATTCAAAAATAGACCACAACCTCTGATTATAAGTCGAAATGACAACCTAATCAACTGGTGCTATTGGCCACTTGTCGATGAATAACCTGCAGTCAATATTTTGACTAGCGACTGGCCCCATTCAGGCAGTGACCTGGGGTTCTAGTGGGAAGCCGTGACCAATAGGGCACAGCAGGTTGAAAGGGAGGCAGTAACTCATCAAAGAAGAAACTGCGAAGTGGTCGCGCTATGTCGTGAAATGGCAGAAGTTAGAATTCATGGACTGACTGGCCATTGGATGGGGTCCTAATGGCTGAATGGACTACGAGCTCGCTCGCCTTGTAACCAGAAGGTCCTGGATTCCGACCCTGGTGGTGGGTGCGTACTGAAGAAGAGTTCCAAACTATGACAAAACAGCTGTCCAGTATTCCCAGCTGGTCTTCCAATGGTTGTCTAAATGATGTCAGCTCATGATGAAATCCATCAACCAATCTATTGTATGTCATATAACATGCGTCAGAAGTTACCAGCATACTTCATAATAACCCGCATTACATGGCGAAAAATCAAA